CGGTACGATGGGGATGGCCGACTCCACCAGGGAGCGTACTAGTAATTTCCTACATGCCAACAGTTCAAGGGAAAGGGATGGGACGTCGCACTACAGCACGGAATTTTCCACAAGGAGGCCAGCTGGGCGCCGGATGATGGAGTCAAATTACGACAACCGTTCAAAGTCGACCGATGCAGATCATTTTTCTCCACCAGCAAGGCGAAGAAGAAGATGGCCATTTCCGTGGCGAGAAAAGATTTTCAATGCCAGTGCACACGAAGTTCCTAGTGGTCCTAATCCCATATCCAATAGGTAAATTCAACTAATAATAATCATGTTGTAGAGACTCGCAGCAGCTTGTTACTTAAGTTTACGTCTAATTTGTTCCATCTTTCTTTTTATATATTAATATTTTAGTTTGTTACATATATATAGAGCTAGCTTCTTAGTCAGTGCTAGCTAGCTAGCTCTCCTACAGTAGGAGGAAAGCGATATATCACTACGTTACTTTTATATATTCTTAATTATTAGTTGTATTGTTTTCCAAACACACCTTACCCATCAAAATCAATCATTTGATGATGATGATGATGAGATTTTAGTGTTGATCTTAGTTTTTCTTTTCTTTTTGTGACATTGCAATACAAAAGTATGAGTCATGATTGTGTTTATACTCCATACTCCTCCCAAAATATGTTGTGTTTAACGGAAGCATATGCAGCTACTAAAAGAAATGGCTATTCTCACTTGGTTGATATTCGAAAAAAGATTAGGCGAAGTGCCCATGTGCTTACTCTTCACCCGTCTGGAATTCGGCTTCATTTAACCAGTTTTGGGAGAGGGATTAAAGGTGTACGAGTATAGTCATCAAACATCAACTACTATTAGCTAGCTGCTTAAATTGTGAAAGATTTTTAAGTAATGAACCATGATCATAAGAGCAGTACCAGAAAGGTGGACGTTGCGAGCTAAGAGATGAAATTTGTGTAGATGAAAAGAAGAGAAAGAGAGACATAATGATTGAAAAATGCATGTTCGCTTTAGGTCTTTTAAGACACAAAGGCTCCTGCAATAGGGGCTAATTGTAAATGTAAAACGTCATAAAGAATGACAAAGGAAAGGCCCAAAACAGCCATTGTTTTTCGTGTAAAGTCATACATACGAACCTGGCAATGGCATCCAAAGCAGTGGTGAAGGGTCACTTTCCTTCTCCCCAGTCCCCACCCTAAGTTCCAAACCCTTGTTTACTTGTGCAGTGCAATTGTCCATTGTTTTCCCCGTCCTTATCTGCCTTCTCCATTCCCCACTCTTCTATCCGCTTTGGAACCTAGCTAACTCCTCCCTTTTGTTTTCGTTTCATTGTAACTACTTTTTGCATTTGTTTTTCATGCTATCCTTTAGACACTCCTCCTTTTCTCAGCATCTCCACGGGTTTATACCCTTTAGTTAACAAGTTTCATCTGATATGAGATGGTGAGATAAGGGCAGGTTAAAAGTAATGATATTGTAAATTTCTTAAAATTTTTGTATCAAATTAAGTTTGGTGTTATGGCTTAGTTAGAGACATGCCTGCCTTCCCAGAGCAATACAAAAAGGAAAAGCGAAACTCTTTTTTTGGATAAGTGTGCGAGAATGAGCTGGCAGCATAAATTCACCCTTAATCTGAGGCTGGCCATGGACTTGGATTGGAATCAAAGGATATTCAGACTTGGAAC